TTTTGTTCAGATTTTCATATAGATTACTTTTAACATAAACTGGGTTATAGAACACTGGATAATGCACAAAGGGCTTCCTAAAACTTTCTAATCCCCCTCCAAATATCTTTTTCTGGAGTAATTATTTTCAGAATACATTATGCTTATTAAGAAGAAACACAGAAATACTAAAGCAAGTGATCTGCACTATCATTGGCTTAGTGTGCTGCAGTATTAAATTCAAAGGAGGAGTGTTAGTGTCAGTTATAGCATAAGAACCCCTGACTAAAAAGTATGCCAGAGCTGATTGGTCCCTGTCACATGGACAGAGTATTAATATTATACAAATAAATATATCTGCTCAAAGTACCTATAGTTATTTACCATGACTTTAGTTATGGAAATGTCTAGAAACATGGAACAGGGATGTGAGCTTTACCTGTGAGTTTTGTAAAAGCATTTTAGAGTGTTTTTCTGTTCAAGTAGCCTTATTTCTTTAAGAAGTCAGATGAATGAATATAAGAGATGAAAACCTGCTAGAATCTTACTCTGATATTTATGTGTGCACTCTGTGCTTAGGTGCTCATACAGTATATTAGTGTAGTGTTCTATTGTACACAACTTCTAACAGGAGTGGATATTGGCATAATAATAAGGAATGATCACAAATGAAGGAACTTGGATGTCCAGATGAAGTATAGTGAGAGAATGTTTCCCAAACCAGGGTATGCTATATAGTACTTGAGGCTAGATTTTAAAATGCAGAAAATGAGTTAATTCTTGAGATAGTGTTTCAAACATTTGTGTCTTGTCTACTGCATCCCTAAAATAGCTTTGTAACAAATTCAGTAATTGTTTTTGTAGGAACAAGCAGGACCTTGTGCAAGCTTGTATTTAAATACTGAGAAAGGCTGGAGGTAGGTAGAAACATCAGTTACCTGAAAGATGGTATGTTTTCATTTTGGGGTTTTATGCTGTCAGTTGGTATTGAACATACTTAAGCATCTCTAGTTCAAAATTCTTACTACACTGCTTCTAAAATTATAGTGACTAAACACATTCTTGTTGCTGACCCTTTATGCACATTAGTGCTTGAAGTTCAACTCAGAATGCTAGTTTTCTTTCTCTTAGTCTTTGCATCATCAGTGAATTGTGGTGTAGAGAAAACCTGCAACTTAAATTATTTTACAACTGCTTTTTTTTTCAGTGCAGTGTTTTCTTTATAAGGAGATACTGTTAATATAATAAAAAATCTGTCTCAATCAACTAGGTTGATTTAAGGTAGCAACTAATGTCTCAACATGCAAGTGTGCAGGATATGGTCGGAGTGCAAGACATTTCCCTCATGCCAGGGTCTCAGTGAAAGGCACTTAAGATACACTTTTGATAACTCTGTCCAAAAGCTGTTGATACAAAGAAAATGGTTTCTTAGTTTTAGAATTCTGTGGTGGCGTCTTTCTTGAAAATGTTGAAATGGTAATCTGAAGCATTGCTCTTGGGCTTTCCATCTTTCCTCATGTGTTTTAATATCTCATGCTTGTCCTGGCATACTAAGAATATAAAAATCATCTTGCAAGAGTAAATATTTCTGTGTTTTTTCCCCCTAAAATATTGGTAAGTTTTGTGTCTTTACGCTGTAATTTAAAACAGAATAGTCTGTCACAGTCCATAGTGGATAATGAAATGATACCTAGACCACACTTTAGTGCAGGAAGCCTCGCTTCCATATGAAAGGCTACACTGTGTTGATACCGTATTTTATCTAGGTATCCCAGAATGATGCTGCTCATTTTTTTTATGTTCTAATTCAACAGACACTTGAACAGAATAGAAGGTGAAGTGTTGAAAGATAACTTGAATTCTGAAGTTATTTTCGCATGTCATATGGCAGAAATAAAAACTATTTAAAATCTGTTCCCCTGCAAATGTTTTAGGAATCTAAGTGACTTGCTTTATGGCATCACATCAGAATCATTACCCTTTCTCCATTTTTTATGTCTAGTTCAATTCTAATTGACTTCTTTAGCAGAAAAAACGCAACCCAACTAAACAAAATGCACACAACCCCTTACCCCTTATGCTGGTTTTATTTCTTGCTATAAATAAAGGTGTTGTATCCTTAGAAAGGTGTGATAACTCCCACTTAGATCATAATGTGCTAAAGTGCAGTGCATGTTTGCTGTGATCAACAGCAGTAAGAAAGAAAATGGCTATCAAAAGGAAAATTTGAAATTTTTAATTGGAATGTGCACTCTTCTTTGATATGGTTAATATTTTGAGTTCTTATGCCAAAAAGTTCATATACTGCTTTCTGAGAATTTTGTTTCTGCCCTCATTTATTGAAACAATTCTTTAATTAATGTCCTTTGGGATATCTTCCAGTTGTGAAACTTGTACTAAGTTTTTTCTTTTTACAGAACTTGCAACTTAATATTAGCTGTTTCTGAAGTGAGACACTAACCCCTCTGTGCCTTTTGCAAGTAAATGTTGACAGGCTCATAGGAAATGCAGCTGACGTTAGGAAGCTTGGGTGGGGACTACAAGGAGCTGGCAAATACTACAGGGTTCAGTGCCAGACATGCTGACACAACAGTACTTCACTTGTAAAAGTTTTCTTTAGGCTGCTAATTCTGTCTTCAGAATAACTGGAACCAAAGCAGTGTCTCTGATGCCAAGTTAAAACAGCTGAAGTAACAGTTTATGGGAAATTGAGAATGCTTTCTGTGACTTAGATCCTCAGAAATATTAGTAAAAAGAGTAAGCTTCTCTCCTAATGAAGGGGTGAGTTAAGAGCAGTGCCATGTAATGAATGCACTGCAGAACAAATCCATCTAGCTGGAGTGTCAAAAACAGCTCAGAGGGAAAGGCTAGCATTGTAAAGTATCTGTAAATACGGTTCTCTGCGTGGTTAATATTACAGTTTCCATTTATTTGATTTACCAGTTCATAGTCATATTTCATAAGGCACTCTTTTAATAGCTTCCTTTAGCTTTTAAACAAAAATTCTTTTTTTTAAATATATCTAGACATTGAGAAATGCTATGTGAGCACTTCTACCACAGTTTGACCATGTCACGTTAAGTATAATGTGTTTTGTCTTGAGTTTACAGTATTTCTGGTCCATGTAAGAGCCTAAGAAGTAGTAAGACAAAGCTTTGAAGGGGGATAAAAGTGGAATACAGCTTAGGTTTGCTTTGCAGTATTAGGCAGCACATGAGTTGCTGCTACCATGCTGTCTCCAGTTTTGTATGTGGGAGGACTTGCAGGAGGCATCATAGGGAGGAATCTTGCCAGGTAAGGCATGCCTGGCTTACAGAATATAAAAACTGCTGCAGTCTTGGTGGAAGGGTGCAGCAATATTACACAATCTTATTGTTTGATTTTTTTGAATTTCATCGTCACCTTTAGATTTTAGGAAGTGCTTGTTTTCATTCCTTGGAGTGCAGGACTCAAATCAAGTGTTGGAAGAAAGGAGATTCAGATGGTGAATTTGAGCTGTTCAGTGTTTGTGCAGTGAAGTGTGCCATGACAAGTTGGCTTTAATGTTATTGCCTCTTTTAAGGTAGGCACATGCATTGTGCTCTCCCACAAAAGTAGAAGTTCAAGTAGTAGACTGAAACAGCTTTGCCTAGAGCAACTGGACAGCAGTATCTTGCATCCATGGGAGACATTGGCTTCTGCTGGCCTCAGAATTACAGATCACCTCTGAAGTCTCCTCTGACCTATTTTATCAAGCTAAAATGAAATAAAAGCAATATATAATAAAATGGGAAGACTTGGTTTTAATCTTGGAGAATTTTTTTTTACATAAACTGTCATTTAAAATAAAAAGTGGATTGAGCAGTTTTTTGTCTAAGATCACCTTAATCATTTTTCATAACATCCTTCATCAGTTTGACTGTGTGATGTTGGACATTGATGTCTTTCTAGACCAAGATTTGTCTTTTCCTGAAGAGAAGCGCTTAGTTCATTTTTGAATCTACAAAATGTGAACTGGTGCTTTCTGAAAGCTATGTAGCAAGTAACTATGTAGCCCATGACTTGGCTAAATCAAGTTGTTCCACTCACCATTGATTTTCTTGCGTAGCTCTTGCTGGGGTTCCATTTTCATGCATCTCTGGGCAATCTGTAGCACATCTCTGAAATTTACCTTCTCTACTGCCTGATTGCTTCCAAATTGTTACCTAGATTGTTGCCCCCACAAATATGTATGTAAATTCTCTTCCTGAACCAGATCCCGTCTTTGCCAGTATGGGTGCACATAGAAAAGGCATGTATGTCCTAGCTCCATAGAAGGGGCTGGAGGACATGTTTGGAAAAGGGATTTAAACAGAAGGTTATTTTCCTGTGAGATAATAACAGATAAACTTTGGAGAATATTATCTTGGTCACAGATTTGTTGAATGAAGGAGGATCTGAGAGATGTTATGGTGACTCTGTGCTTCCAGAGAGAAGTTCCTTTGTTGAGTAAAAATTGTGCAGTATCAATGAAGTGATCTGGTCAGTGTCCAAGATTTGAACTGTCTCGGGATGTATTGCTGACATTCTCTATGGCCTATTTAAGCATTTCTGTTTACAGATTTGTAGAGTGATCTATTTGCAGTGCAGTGAGACTGCACTTCCTGTGGTTGAATGGTGTTGCTTAACTGTGGTCAGCTGAATTCCTTGGACAAGAGTTGGATTTTTCTAATGTAATGTCAATAGATTTTGCTAATAATAGCTGGCAATGAAGGCATATGCAAGTCTAGCATGAATTTCTGATGGTGTATTAGATTCTGTGAGTTCTGTTCTTAATAATTTTCTGCATCATTCTGATAAAATTGAGCTGAAAAAATGGCTTTGCAATTATCTATTACAACTTCCATACTAAGTCTTTACTAGTAAGCAGGAGTTTTTATGAAGTTTATGGATGGACATTTGCTTTGATTTAGAAACACTTTCAGAAACATAGTAGCTGACACCAGTTTTCTTAGACACTGATAAGAAAGTTTGAGTATCAAACTATTTTTCCCCCCACCCAGATGGAGCAATTGTCAGATGAAGAGCTTGACCATGGTGCCGAAGAAGATAGTGATAAGGAAGATCAGGATCTTGACAAGATGTTTGGGGCCTGGCTGGGTGAACTGGACAAACTCACACAGGTGAGGGATGTTTCAATCATCTCATGGAATAATTTTTTCTTAGTATTATGTTTCTTTTCAGTTGGATGCCAACTGCTTCACACTGCCACTTGCAGCAAGGCAGACCATAGCCTGTGACCAGTTCAGTAACCTTTAAAGGTTTATAAATTGGCTTGTTTTCCCCATCCTGATGTTGTTTATTCATTTTGTACAACCTGCTAGCTTGACCTGTCACAAAGAGTATAGTTCCTTCCGAGAATTATAGAATTGGTATTTTGTCCTTACATATGTAGAGCAATATGGACTTCAGCTAATAGGCTGTGTCTCAAAACATGTGATTTGACATTGTACAGCTGTGACAGCATTTATTTGTTGCACCTAAACAGCAATAAGAAAAAAATGTGAATGCAATTGAATTGAAGCAGCTGATAGGACATCTTTTGGTCCTACTTTCATTCTAGTGGTTTTCCTTTACTTCACAAGCAGGTACTGCATTTGGCATGGTGTTTGCTACACTCCTGGGGTGATCAGCCATTTCTCTGTGACTGCCTGCAGGGGGTATTTCAGCTGTGTGAACTGGCCTTCCTGAATAACATATTTAATTTTCTCCCTGTTTGTCATGTAGAATTTAGCAAAGGTATGATAACTGAAGGGTCATTAAGCTAGAGAAGAGACAGTTTTTCTCATCTTCATCTTACCTGAAGACTAAAGGAAAATTGAACTAATTATTGTAGTGGTTTTGGTTCAGGTATTGGTATTTGGTAACAGGATTTCAAATTCAGTCTCATCTCTGCTAATGTCTCTGCCAGCAAGTTCTAAGTGTATATAGCACTACAGGGGAAAATGTTTGTTTTTTTCCCTGAGCTCACACATGCAAGGCAATAAAGAATCCTGCCTTCTGAGATGAGTGGAAGAGTGTGACATGAATCTGCATATATTAATTCTTGCTGATTTTTAACTTCCTTTGAAGGATTTTTAATGGTATGAACCATTTTGAAGTCATGGGCTTTGTAAATCGCCTTGAGGATATTCACAGAGGAGAACAATGGGTCTTAGATTCATTAAGCATTGCATAATTTTGGATGTTCTGCAGACCTGTTGAGTTTCAGTGACAGCAAGATTCCCCATGTAACACATTTCACTCCAGGGGCAGCAGCTTCTGACCCTGTCATGTACTTCTTGGGTCAGTAGTTGGATCACAGTTGCACTGCAGCTTGCTACTTATAAAAATCCTGGTATTTATTATAGCCATTGTAACATAACAATTCAAGGGGTCTTAGTTGTCTGTTCTCTGCCCCATTTTTTTTAATGGTATGAGCAGCCTAGAAATATTAAATATAAAAATATACTTTACTTGGGGCTTATAGCTGCACTACTGACATGCAGACTTCAGGGTGACGTCTCAGTTTGTTGTTGGTCCATGCAAATTTCTTAAAACCTACTAACAGTTACTTAATGGTAGGACCCACATTATTTGTTTCTTACCTTCATATTGCTGTTCAAGACAGTCTGCAACATAGCCTGCCAGTTGCCCTTCTATCTTTCGCAACTACAGAGAAACGACATTTCCCCCAAAACTTTGAATGACCCCATATTGTTCTGTATAAACAAGTTAACAGAGTTGGTTGTGTCTCAGTTCATTTATTTGGACAATCATCAAATCTTGATGGGGCAGTTCCAATGAAGTCCCAGTAAAGAGGTGGTTAATGAGATCCCAAGTGCATTCTCCTCTAGTTTCTGCATTTGTTGCTATCTGTCAGCTGGATTTCAAGAGCACTAGGAGGAAAGGTTTTTGTCCCCGAGATCCTTAATCTTTAACTTCTTTTTAGATTTCCTATATGTTTATTTTGAGAAGGTTTAAAGTAAAACCCAGATGTAATGGCTTTTTAAAAGATCTGAATTTGTTTAAATACCCATGGGAATCATTTGAATTCACTTTTCCTCTTTAACTCTTGGTCTAACAAAAGCATTATAAAACGAAGTCACAAAATCTGCAGCATGTGTGAGCAATATTTGGCATTGATGAAGGGTGTTTTAACATTTATTCTGTTTAAGTTTTCCTGCTGTATGGTGCAGGTTAAATGAAAAAAAATTTACCTTGCTTCTCATGATTATTTAGAATTAAGCTTTTGGAGCTGTTGCAGTTTTTAGCAGTTCTCCAAACTGCTGGTTTAGCAGTCTAATGTGTTATGGAGAATGTGCTTAGGTAATAGTGAGGGCATATCACGTGTGTCCAATGATCTGCAATAACTTAATTAAAGCCAGTAAAACACGGTTGAGGTGCTTTCAACCAGAATATATTTGCTTCACAGGAAATCTTTTGTAGCAGTCTATGGGTTTGGTCTGAAGGAACGGGGCCTAACTTGCCTCTTCTGTCTCCAGTTTTAGTGATGTCTCTAGGGTTATAGATTTTTTTTATTTTTTAAAGTTCAGGCCAAGCTGAGGAGAGAAGGGAGCTCAGGAAGAATAAATATTAGCATTTGATTTTTTTAACAAAGGCTTGAGTAAAGATGTAGAAAATGAACATAAAAAGTTTAGGTGAGAAACTTAATTCTGTTGGAACTAGAAGACGCTTTTCCTTCAGGCAAGCGTATCTTCAGGAACTCTTTATCAGTACAAGCATTGCCTAATTTCAGATTTTCTGCTGGCCTGTTGAGCTTCAGTGACAGCAAGAGTTGGATTCCCCATGTAACACATTCCACTCCAGGGCCAGCAGCTCCTGACCCTGTACTACTTGGGTCAGCAGCTGGATCACAGTGCCCTACTGCTTGCTACTTAGAAAAATCCTGGTATTTATTATAGTATTATCCCCATATTAGCCATCATAACATAAAAACTGAGTATATTGGTTAGAAATAATTTCTTTTTTAACATATGCTAGTTTTCCTTAAAAAGAAAATGTGTCTTACATAAACAGGCTGGGGTTGGTTTTCATAACTTAATGTTATTCACAGAAAAGACTATTTAAAAAAAAATCTGAGTTCAGTGGATTTAAATCCTTGTTAATAAAATAGGATTCTTCATTGAATGTTTTTAAGCACTTATGCCATGATTATGCTCATAAGTTAGTATGGATATCTTAGACCTTATCTTAGACTGTTATCCCACTTTGAATGTTGTGCAGTTTCCTGAAGAGATATAGTTACAGGTAGGTCAGCTGTCTGTTTCAAAATGAGCTGATGTGTAACACCACTCAGAAAAGCATTTGGAAAATGCGTCTCTCTTTTTGATTCTGAAAAAAAGCAGAATGTGTTTAACAACTTTTCTTCACTGCATATCTGCAATTAAATCTTTGTAGTATGACAATGTTTGTTTTGTTTTCAGTCTGAAGCCTGAAAAATAGGGGTGCTTTTATATATACCAGTAACTTTTGAAAAATTTCTCTTAGAGAAAATTAATTTTCATTTATCTTAAAGATTTGCTTGTCCAATTCCTTGTCAAACTTTATTTTGCCATTTTTTGTATCTCTTTCAGAGTTTGGATGCAGATAAGCCTGTGGCACCAGTGAAGAGGTCACCTCTCCGCCAGGAAACCAATCTTGCCAACTTCTCATATCGCTTCTCCATGTACAATTTGAATGGTTTGTTGAATTATTTACCACATATAGTTTAAGAAAAATACTAGTTTAAGAAAAAAACCTATTCCAGCTATAAATTAAAATATTGTAAAATATAAGAACATTTGAATATGCTTACAGCTGAGGGATGAGATAGGTGGGAACATATTTGCTGAAGGCATTGCTTTCTGGTGTCCTTTTTTTTCAAGTATTTGAGTCTCCTAAAGCAGTATCTTTTACAACACCTCCAGTATCTGAGAACTGTAGTGTAGTATTTGTATAAAAAAACTTTTTCTGGGATCTGGTCTCATGAAAGAATGAATTAATGTGAATCTGTTAACAGGGAAGAAAGAGCATCTTGTTTTATGGAACAGGATGCAGGAATATAGCTACAGAATGCTTTCAGGATAAACAGAACAAAACCTTAATTTAAAGGTTTGATTTTTTGTTTTGGTTTTGTTTTTTTAAAGCAGTTGCATTACTTTAGCACAAAATGTTTAGCAAAACATCTGCACCTTTTCAAAAAGTGAGGCATGATATTATGCAAATGCCTCTTTACATTCTGTTCACAGGAAAGCAGTTTAACTTTTCAGATGTAATCTGAACATTCATGGACTTCTATTGCTGACAAATGAGTTTAACCTAAATAGTGTGAAAGTTGCACTGGTCAAGGATAGTAGTGCAAATGAAATTCTGTTCAGCAGTGCACAGATTTCTGCAATGCAGATGGGAAAATAAAATATTGCTTCCTTTGCTCTCTTAACCATTAGATTTGATAACACAAAGCGAGGCGTTGCAAATGAAATAACTCTGCACGTACTGGCTACTCTTGTTTGACATACTGACTGTTCTTGTTGCAGAAGCCCTGAATCAGGGGGAGACTGTGGATCTGGATGCCCTCATGGCTGATCTCTGTTCCATAGAGCAGGAGCTCAGCAGCATTGGCTCTCATTCAGCAAACAATGCTGCAGTGAAACGCCTTGCCACAGAACCCAAAACTCAGAAACCACCTGCTAGTCGACCTTCTGCTAAGCACAGCAGCGTGAAAGGATTGTCCTCCTCCTCTGCTAAGGTGACTAAACCATCACATGCCAACGTGTCTCTGGATGACATCACTGCACAGTTAGAGAAGGCCTCTTTGAGCATGGATGAAGCAGCCCAGCAGTCTCTTGCAGAAGACACCAAGCCAGTGGTTGCTGCCCAGCACAGGAGGACAGCTTCTGCTGGCACGGTGAGCGATGCTGAGGTACGCTCCATCAGTAACTCCTCCCGTTCCAGCGTGACCTCAGCAGCTTCCAGCATGGACTCCTTGGATATCGATAAGGTGACGAGACCTCAGGAACTGGACTTGACATCACAAGGGCAACCAATCACTGAGGTAGAGTGTCACTAATTGAAGATTTTTGTTTGGTTTGGGTTTTTCTCTTTAAATGTACACCACATTTCCCATGCTGACACTCATAGCTAAACATCTGCAGTGCAGTGGGTTGATTGAAGACTTGCTTTTACAGGAACTGCACATGTTGTAACTACTTCTTTCTCTGGTTTTGGTTCTGTCTGCAAGGAAACTTCTTATAAAGAATTGTTTTGGTTTTGGATTTTTTAAGAGCTTTTCCCATCTCTTCTTCTTCCTCTCAAGCCAGTCATGCATTTTAATGTTTTTATAGTTAATATTTTTATGCAAAGTAAATATGGCATATTGCCCTTAATTTAAATCTGAAGAGTGAACAGGTGGGGAAAAAAGGAAGCACAATTGACAAAACTCCATTCCTGTTACAGTACAATTAATACCTGAAATACATGGAGCAATCTGTGGGTGTCTATCTGGAGCTATACTATACCCATAATTTGCTGCTACTTAATATTCTTGTTTAATGTATGACAGGAAGAGCTCTTTGAAACAATACACAACACAGTAAAATAACTGGGCTGCAATACAACATTAGCAGATATTAATTTGGGATTTTGATGCTTTGATATTGATTAATCAGAGAGGAAACTTCAGTGAGACCAGCCAATTCAGTGAACATTGCAAGTGCTGGTGACTTGTGAGAGAAAATGTGGAAAATGTTCCAGTAAATTTTGAGAACTTAAACTTAGAAGTTCTCTTGTAGAAATACTCTCTGAAACAGAAATCTGACCTGTTAGAATGTCAGTTGTACTAATATGCATGTTCTCTTTCATGAGAGAAAACTAGAACAAGCTGAGTTTATTCTAATCAATAATTAAAACTGATCTGAATGGGCTGTACTGAAAACTTCGTTCTACACATCTGCAACAAAAGTTCATCTGATATATAGTGAACAATGCCGGCTTGTCATTCTTATGATCAACTCATTGAGGTCACACTTTGATTTAAATCTGCTTGAAATGGTGAGACATGAATGACAGTTTAGGTCAACTTTCTTCTTGTATAAAACGTTTTTGTTCAGTTTGCTTTTATTGGAGACTTCATATGGAGTGAAGCAAAACAGATAGAAATGTGCCCTTTGCTCTTTGTAAAGTTAAAATGCAAACCTTTGCATTATTGCTGTAGGCCTAAGTGTTCAAGCCCAGCCTATGACGGCCATTGATTATATTGTTGTTTATTTGAGATTCATTTTCTTTTCATGGTATGATAAGGCTTATTTTTGGGTTTGGGTTTTTTTTGTGCATCTCCAGCTGTTATTCATGATTATATGTCTGTCTTTATGATGTAGAAAGTTAGGCAGTGTTGCATTTTGATCTCTTCTTGGGCTAAAAAGATGACTTTTGTGAATTAGTTTCTATAGCTTGCATAGCCTAAGAAAAGCATGAATGTTGCAATTTTTTGAATTTTAACACAGTCTTTTCTGCAGATTTCTGCAGAACTTGCAGGTCTTCCTTTAGATTTTCTCTTTTACTTTGAGGGTTATATTCTTGAGGCGTCAAAATTGCCCTTTTTGTCTCCCAGGTTTTTTCAATCCTTTGTGTCATGGGTAATCAACAAACCACCTGCTGCACTTAATTAACTTGATGTTGGTGAATCAAGGGACAGAGGTCAAGAAGTTGCTTTGTCTTCACAGGAAGCTAATCTATATTGCTGCAAGCATTGCAATTGCTGTTTCAGTTGCTTTCTGAGCTCTTGGCCACTGACTTCAAGGCTCAGAATCATTCCCAAAAGCTTTTCTCAAAGGCATGTGAGAGCTGCCTTTGTACAAACCCAGTGATTGCTTCTTAATAAGAATGTGGCTATTGTTTCTCTGCCCAGATAAGTTGATAAAAATGATTGATTCCTTTGAAGGAGGTAACCAGAAAGTGTCAGTAATTTGAGATCCAGATTCTGCTCTCCTCTTGAGGACAGAAACCTCTGCACTCATTAACCATGCTGTTTGCTTTGGCTCTATCTATTCTTTTTAATTTCAGTAGCCTGAGGAAAGGTGTTCAATTCTGAGTCATTGTGCGCAGGTTTACAGAATTGGTTTCAACTATTCAGTTTTTAAATTGTTATGTGATGGGATGGGACTTACTGAGGATAAGTTTTTTTTCTCATCACTGGTGAACAGAAAAAGGGCAATGACTTTTTTTTTGAGTTTGTGACAGATTCTGTGGTTGTGCTTTCCAAATGAATTTGGCTTTTAAATGGATTCTTTGGAAGAATCATTTGGTATCAACGAAGCTGTTTATTTCCTATGTCATTCATTTAATGCCCAAAAACTAGTTTAAGGGTTTATTAATTCTCTTGGCTAGGTTATGAACCAAAACACCTTTCAGTAGGGCTGAATTGTACCCTCCCACCCACACAGTTGACTCAATGGTGCTGTTTCTAATAGAAAACATCCCTCTGAGGAAATAGCCTTTGAAGAAATCCTAATGTCCATATAGGGAAAAAACCCAACAGGTTTTATGCAGAAAGTGGGAGAGGCTGTTTATTCATGGTCACAGCAGATCTGTTTTGAGATTTGTTATTCTGAAGTAGTGCTTCAAGTTAGCTCTTTTCTTTTGCCTGTCTTCCTTGAGACTGCCTGTAGGTGAGCTGACCTTTAAAATTTTTCTTTACTCTGAAAGAGGTCCGTGTCTTGGCAGCTCTGCCCTTTTGACCGATACTTTCTGTCTTCTCCAGGCAGTATAGGTACTTTAAAAATTCATCCTTTGTGCTGCAGCTTCATGTTTTGCTCTTCCTAAGTAAAATGGAAGACGATTTTGATGGGAGGAAAAAGGAAATGAGGCTTTGCAGTTATAAACTTCAGTATTCTATCTTAAAAAAATAGTTCTCCTCTGTATTTAAGAGCTCTCTGAGATGGAAGTACAGGAAAATCCTGTAAAAGAACAGTCATGCACTGGCCCACTGAAGGTATGTGTGGTCTAGTTACTCTCTGGCTGGTAATAGAGACCAGTATTACGGAAAAAGGCTGCAATTCCACAACCACCAGCAATGGGAAGATATGACTTCCCTTTCCTCTCATCCTTCCTTCCTCACAGTTCTTCCTTATGCTCTCATCTCCTCCCTTGTCCCAGCTTTGGCACTTAACTGGTACTTAGTACACCAAAACTTTGTGCTTCTATTCTAGGCCTCATTCTGTGTTATTTAGGTGAACTGCAGAGGCTCAGGGGACTGATGCACATGAGGAGAGGCTGTAGCCAGGGACTGGAGGCTGGAAGGGAGGGCAGGAACTCATTGGTGGTAATTGATTATTTAGAACTTCTTGCCTGAGCATTTGGACAGGCACCTTAGTGTCCTGTCTTTTTCTTCCTCCTAGCAGCCAGTACTGTAGGTAATTCTTGGGGCTGCAGATAAATCAGCATGATGACAGATGATAATTCAGTGCTTGTATTGGCCAAGACCATCCTTATAATCATTCTGCATTTGTCTTCAGGCCACTTTCAGGGGAGTTGAATGGAGTTCCCTTGGTTGTCTAAAATTGTGGGTTTATTCGTTGTCATCATAATTTAATTTTCTTCCTTTCCTACTTCCCTTTCATAGTACTATCTTTTTAGACATTGTGAATGTTGATGTTTTGAAGACTTTTGAAGTCTTTGAAAGACTACAATCACTCTGTAGTCTTGAGACCTTGTCTCAAGTTTCTGACTGCACTTATGTTCTGGTCTTCAGTCTCCCCTTAAGTATTGTTGAATAAAAAGAAAAGTTGTCTCCACCCCGCCCTAACCCACATAATTTTTGATAAATTTAAATTTGTCTTTTACAAAATGACTTCATAGATCCTCGCTTGAACAGTATTTTTTCTTAAATTGGTAGGTTGCATTTAATTTTCTATGCATTTAGTTGTGCAGTGAGTGGCATGCACCTTAAAATGTAGTTTCTGTGGGGGGTTACATACTTTACTTGTATGTAGACCAAATTAGTGAAGCATGAGTTGAAGGTAGGGGAAATGATGTCTCTATGACCAGCTTGTTGCCTCCACCCACATTGTCTTTTTCTTCTTCCTTTGGTCCCTCTGCCAGCAAGAAGTTGTCTCTGTTTTCAGTGAGCTGTGCTAGAGCAGAAGGAGAAGAAAGCAGAGGGGAGAGAATAGACAACTGTGTTGATGATGCTTATGTAGCTGTTTGTGTGTGGCGGGTGAAAGGCTCCATTCATGGGCAGTCATTGTTACTGTCCTGCACACACTCAGTGAAGAGGTTGCAGATAAGTTTGATGTCTGCCATCTGGTCTGGCACAGTTCAGCATCACCCCCCACCCTCTTTATGTCTGTAACCCAGTTTGCACAGCTGAGAGATTCTGCACATACAAAGGTAATGAAAAATTTATCTGGTGACACCACATGATTTAATTGCACACTTTATTTTTTAGCTTTTACTTAAACTTATTGTTGATTTAAACTTGATGCATGAGGGGTAAAAATCATGAGAAGAGAATGCCGGTGCAATAAAGCTACATGGTTTTTGCTTCACTTGACAGAGAAGGCAGTGTAAATATTAATGTTTCTTTCAGGGTAAAAAAGGGAGCTTTGGAGGCATTGACAGCAGCAATTGTCTTGTAAGCTTAGCGCACATAAATAAGTCTGTACTGGCTAAAAGATCCTGTAGGATAAAATGGAAAACTTGAAATGGATGTAAGGGATAATAAAGTTTGTGTTTCATAGCAATTTTGCTATAGTTCTTATGTAGACTTGTTAGCATTTCATTTGCCTGTGCAGTGGTATAACACAGAAACTTTGGTATCCATTTAAAATTACTGAGGCTCATGTTTTATGTGTGATTGCTAAATGTTGCTATGTATGAAAAGGCAGTTGACTGTTCATGTATGCAGACAAACTGATGATATATATGGTCTTTGTTAGGCAATGGTGTCTTAAAATAGAATTGGACTGCTGAATCTCATCTGTTCTTTGTACATGGTTTAAAGAAGAGTTGTCTGTTTTAGCTCTTGCAGGAGTAGAGCATTATTGGCTTTTGTATTTT